TGGAAGGAAGGAAGGAAGGAAGGAAGGAAGGAAGGAAGGAAGGAAGGAAGGAAGGAAGGAAGGAAGAAAGAAAGAAAGGAAAGGAAAAGAAAAGAAAAAAAAATGAGTCTTGAGGCTCAACACACAAAGCAAGACCAAAAAAGACAGAATACATTCATCCTTATGGGAAAGAACACAGTGATTAACTGCTATGAAGTGGCAAATGGGGCGCATCCTGAAGTACTCTGTGGAGTGCCGGCTTTTAGCAGACACCCAGTTTCTAGAAGCTCTACGTTTTCAGAATACACAGTTTAGCTCAGGATGATGAAAAGAGAAACCATGCATAACTCTGCACTGTCCTGTAATAACTATTCATTTCACCCCCAGAAAAATCATTTTCCTTGGAATGTAATTACAACTGGATTGCTTCATCCCACAAGTTAGAACAACTCACTAGAACATGAACTCTCTGGGTCTTACCACACATAGGGGAATCTACCCATCCCCTCCTAGTCCCTCTCAATTCTACCCAATCGCCACCCACAAACGCTCTTTAGAAATATTTTTTTTGTTTTGTTTTGTTGAGACTGAGTCTTATGCAGCCCAGGCTGGCCTCAAACTTGGTATGCAGATTAACTCCTGTTCCTACCTCACCCTTCCAAGTGCTGAGATTATAGGCATGCACTACCATACTCAGCTTTAAATCAATGTTTTCTCATCAGTCGGAACAATCCTTTCACTATGTCTTTATTACCACATACACACACACACACACACACACACACACATACACACACATATACACACATACATACATACATACACACACACACACATATACACACACACATACACACACATATACACACACATACACACACACAACACACAAGCTTGCACACACACAACACACAAGCTTGCACACACTCAGCCACCTCCTGTTCCCCCCAAGCCCCCATCTTAAGATAAAGCCCAGGCCTCTTGCAAGCTAGACAATGACTCCTACTTACCAATCTGCTACATCCCCAGGGCAAATGCCTTTCTAAATGCCCATAGAATGGTACTAGTTTTATTTTTATTTCTGCTCTTTCCAACTTACTCTAGAGCAAAGTCTAGGTAAAATCTCAAATCCACGTTATTGCAAACTTCAAGGAATGCTAGGTAGGTATACATTTTGATGAGTCTTATGTTTGAAAGTGTCTCATTTTTTCTTACCTTATAATTCACACTGATTGAGGAACGAATAGACTCTTTATCAGAGAGATTACTAAATTTACATCTGAAACTCTGCAGATGGACTTGATTCCATTTCTTCTTGCTGTTTTATTATGATTCCAGAATACCAAAGCCATGTTTATACAAAAACAAACAAACAAACCCCACCGTATTATAGGCAAAGTCATGCTTCTTGAGGAGGCACTCAGTTTTCCAAAAGAAACACCCAATTACTTATCTACACCATTTAGAGCAGACAAAAGAGAAAATGGTGCTCAACAAAACTGGAGAGAAAGTAGCCACCGGTCACTAATTCTCAACAGCAACTGTAACAGCCAAAAGGCCACATCCTTAATGCCACACACTGGATCTTATGATAAATTCTGAAAAAACTAGATGATTCTGACATTAGGTTTCCTATGAGATGAAAAACAAAAACATGTATCTCCTTGTGCTGACAGCTGCCTTGTCTATCTTGTCTTCCAAAGGCTTAATAGAGCATTTGTCATCTTCAGTCGACCCTTCTTGCAGTGGTCCAGAGAGAAGACATGACTGTATTCCTCCTGCCCCTCTGAAAGCTTGCTGCTCATCACGGGCTTCCCTTCCTCTGCTTTTCCCATTAATGCAGTTAGTAAAGGGTTCCATGGAAAGTCAGTTGGGTGGGGTTTGCTGGGGCAAACACGTTTTGTTAAAGTGGTCACTGGAGTGAAAAGCTAAGGCCGGCTCATGAAGGAACGTTCGCTAAAGCAGACACAGGAAGAGAGGATGTTCTGCTAAAGCAAGCACGTAAAAGGACGTGTGATGAAGGATTCTTTGCTAATGACACTCTTGGTCCACCTTACATTGCATAATGTACTGCAGTTTCTTGCCACCTCCATGGACTGATTAGATACATGTGCCTCAGCACATGCAGAGGCAAGGCCTGTGGAAGACAAGGCCTGTGATGTTTGGAGGGCATGAATAGGAATCCATAAAGTGACAATGAGAGAGCTTGGTGTGCTGGCACAGCTAGCTGTACAACCCTTGTGGGTCTCATGTCTTCACTGATCTTTACTTCCCTGAGAGAGGTACAGCTGAGAACTTCTCTTGGTGTTCCTGTTGGTCCCTCCTGCTGACTCGAGCCGAGGCTGAGGCCTGGCTGTCTCTACTAGGTCTGTTGCTAACCTGACTCTACTGAACTACTGGTATCTGTGAAGTGTTTGCAAGTGGATGGAGCTACCACTGCTGAACTGCCGATTTCCAGACAACACAGAGTTGCTCCAAAGAAACTTTCTAAGCAGGTCCATTCCCCCTCCCCCTGCCCCGTATCCTTTCTTTCCCACTACCTCTGGTGGGTGATGGGCTAAAAGGGAAGTTAAAGCATTAAGAACCATCATTAAAGACAGGTTTTGAAAAAAATTAAAGTTACAGTAAAGTTGCTCAATTACTTTTCTTCTTAAACTTCTAACTACTTCAATTTTCTCCATCATTATTTCAATTCAATTATTTTTATTTAAAGGCCTTAATACTACTTTTCTTAGTCATAAAATCAGTCTATCATAACAGTCTACAACATATTCTTTTCTGAAATATTCTCTCCTGTCTTCCCTCTTCTTGATCCTCATCCTTTTCTTCCTCTTCTCCAGCCAGACAGCACTGCTAAGAGCCATCCTCAGTCTTTTGCACCTCAGTCTTCTCTGATGTCAGTTGCTCCATTTTACTTTCCTACAAATGATTTCCAAGCTACATCCATAGCTTTAGTTTGCAGATTTCCCATTTACAAACAATTGATGGGTTTGGCTATTTTGAAAATAATGTTGCCCTTTCCTATAAGACGTTTTTCCATTCATCTTTCCTTTGTATTACCACATCATATTTTCCACTCGTGTTTCCTTTGTATCACGACATCATATTCCAAGCTCCTTTACTCACTCTTGATGTCACTTGGTTTAATCACTCTAGTCTACTGAGGACCATCCTAAACTTTATTAGTTTAAGCCCCTGTACTTCATAAAGTAATTCACCCTGACACTTTTGGTGCTTTTTCATGATAATTAAAAATACTTTCTTTGAAAATAAGAAACAGGCCGGGCAGTGGTGGCGCATGCCTTTAATCCCAGCACTTGGGAGGCAGAGGCAGGCGGATTTCTGAGTTCGAGGCCAGCCTGGTCTACAGAGTGAGTTCCAGGACAGCCAGGGCTATACAGAGAAACCCTGTCTCGAAAAACCAAAAAAAAAAAAAAAAAAAAGAAAGAAAATAAGAAACAGATCTCCTTACTTGGTGGAAAGTGCATCTGTCTTCGTAGGGACCAGGAGAACTTGAGGAAGGGTAACAAAGGAGAGCAGGAATAGGCAGAAGCAGCAGAAGCACAAGGGTGGAGGCCTGCCCAGAGATCTCCCTCGGTTACCTCCAGAACTCAGCCATGTTCCCTACTATGACACATGGGAGTCGCTCATACAAAATGTTCTAGGTATTCACCAATTTTGCATCCATGTAAAAAAGCTTCACTGTACTAGGAAAGCTCTGCAATAATCCAGTTACCAGCACATGACTGTGGTGCTATTTCCAGTTCAGTCTCTTCACTCACTTCTGTGAACTTGTTTATCTCAAGTGAATAAATCCATGTGTAGAAGTATATTCTGGTCACCATACAGCATGCTATTAAGCACAAACACTGAGGACAGAGGCCAACATGAAAAACCACGACAGTCAATCTGCACAAATACCATCCTAGAGCACAGATAGACATGGCTTCAGATGAGCCAATTCCTAAAACCAAGCTGAGAACAGTCATCTTTCTCTCTTTACCAACGAAGTCTGAGAAGAAGCAAGAACATGATGCACACACCAAGACAAACATTCCATCTTGAGCACTCTAGTTCACTTACAGATCAACAGCTCATGATACTGAAGTCATTTTAAAAACAGACTCACTATGGCATTAACATCAACACTGTGAAGCTCAGTGTTCCGACAAACCATCCTCATAGCACTCAATATAATCCAACCTATGCAGTTGGAGAGGTTTCGGTTATTCCTTCTAAATCTAGTGCCGCAAATCTACACCTGACATTTGGACTATCTGTCAGACTTGCTCCATCTAATGCCAGAGAAAATTCAAGACATCCTTCAAGTCCCATCACCAAAAGGACTTCACTGAATTAAAAATAAATAAATGAATAAATAAATAAATAATAAAAGAATTTCACTGATCAATCAGTAGCTTTTTAACAAATCCTAAATCACTCTACCTTCCTGTATTTGTCAGACTATCTGTAAATAGCAACACTACACAACTGTATCTCTTTTATGTCCAGAAACACCAACATAATATTTTATACATAGAAAGCAGTGCTTAATTGATTCCAATATCAAACTTATATAATCACACATCTCTGGGAAGCAATATAGAAACCTTACCTGAGTCAATTAAGTACAAACAAATCACTTCTAGTGGGTACTGTATGGTAGGATAGATAGTTATCATTCCTTCACAGGCCTTCTTCAACCTAGTTGTCTCATGAGGAAACTTGAAAATATAAAAACCATAATAAAGTGAATCCTATTAGCATGAAAGCATATGGATGAACATTTGCATAACTAGAAATGCATGAATGTCACTTACTTTAGACAAACACTGAATAAAATTCCTGTAAAGTACTTGGTGATCTTCACTGGGAATGTTATCTGCTAAGTCCAGTGCATTCTCAAATGCAGTTAAAAGCTGAAACAAACCAAGAAGCTATTAGGTAGCATAAAGAAAACTGTGGTGAGCACTAAGATGAACTAAAACTCCTTCATCAGAACTAAACCTTCAACTGTCTGGACCTCATAATTCTTCTGTTTAGTTGGTTGGTCAGTTTTGTAAGGCAAAGGGTCTGTCATCCTAACAAACTTGAATTTACAGAAATCTTCTTGCCTCAATCTCCCAACCACAGTGGTTACAGCTGGAGCCACCACAATCTGATTGGTCCTGACACTCACCTGGGTAGGTGTCTCCAACCCAATCACCCCCAGTCACTGTTTATAAAAGCACCTGTAGTCACATCCATAATGTTTCTTAATCTAATCAAGTTGATAAAATTCATTATCACAATCAAGCCCTACTATCTCATTACCTCAAAATTTCATTTTCCATGATTATAAATATAAAGGATGCAAAAATAAGTAAAATTTAACTGTTCAAATAAGAGTAAATAAGACTAATGATGTCACAATAAAGGAAGTTCAACCTAAAATTATTTATCATAACTAGATTTTTCATATAACAAGGCAAGTATTCCAAATGGAAAAATACATGACAATTTTTCATCCCTTATCTTTTTAATGATTTATCTGTTTAACACCTAGAAATAAATTCTTTTTTTTTTTTTTTAGAAATAAATTCTTAAGTCTATTACTAAGGACAGAGAAGAAGGCGCTCTAGAGAGAATAGCAATGTGCAGGTGACGAGAGGAGAAATGGGAAAAACAGGTCAGGGGCTTTGATTAGGGAGGGAGAGAGAAAATGAAGAGGAGGGAGGAAACATTAAGAAACCAAATTACTTTTTCTTTATCCAAAATTACATATAGTACATACAAATGTATATACATATATAGTTTAAATGAAGCTAAGCTGACAATGCTCCCCTCAAGAGCCATACGCTAATTAAAATCCTAATAACAGGTATAATAAACTCCCCTTCAATGTGGTACTACAGGACATTGCTATTGTCCTTGGCTGATGCCCAGAGGTTGAAGCTAAGTCCCTGCTGTTGAAGACACCGTGCACTTTGGACACAAGACTTGGAGGATGAGAGCTCGATCTTACTTGAAATGTCTTCCCCGAATGCTAACTTCCATCATCCTGGTAGCTGCCAAAGGGAGTGAGTCAACCAACAGTTCTACCCAACTACTGAAGCCTAGGAACCCCAACAATGACAAGCCTGGCAAGATACCCTAAAGATGCAATGGTGGCATCATACCTTGCTGATAACCAGCATCTTCCTAATTGGATTTAAGGGCTGCTCAACAGGAGTGAAACCACACCTAGTACTGGAAACCTAGCAGACTACTCAAGGCCAGTGGAGCATGGATCTTAGAAAAGAACCAGCACAGCTCACTATCGACAAAATACATGTAGTACAACCCTCACTTTGGAAGCTTCTCTTTGTAACAGAGACCATTAGAGAAAATCACGATTGGTCAAAATGCAGAGAACAGCTGACCTTGGGGTGCCCAGCCTAAAGAGATACATCTCTTAACACAACTTCTGCATCTGAGGCTCAGAGAAACTTGCTGAAGGGAGGACAGAAAGATTTAAGAGCCAGAGGACTAGGAAATCTGCTGTGAAACTGTGTTTTATAGGTGTTACAGGGAAGCACATCTATGACACCTCAATAATATGGCTGCTGAGACAAGACCCAAGCAAGGAAAACACCATGTTAACATGGAAGAGGGAAGTCTCATGAGCCTCCATCCCTAGTCAAACAATTACAGGTGACTAATTGCTGAGAGCAGGAGTAGGGAGGTGTCCCCAATTAACCAATTCAACAAAAGTGGTCAGTCCTTGAAATCATATATATGCATGCAACACTGAATGGACTTACAATGTATGTATGTATTTGTGTATGTGTGTATGTATCCAGTAAGAAATTAACATCTATGTGTGCGCATATATATATATATGCACATATTTCATATATATATATATATATATATATATATATATATATATATATATATAAATTTATGTACAATTTAATTGTATGTATATATATACATACAATTAAAAGGCCAGGAATTTCAAAGTCATGGAGGGGTTGGAGTAAAGAAAGAAAAGGAGAAAAATGTTGCAATAATATTTTATTTTTTTTAAAAAAGGACTATGAAATGTATAGGAGGTAAGGAGAAAGAATAAAAGATGGTTGGGTATGATCTATGAATGTTTTATGTATGAATGCCATAAATATGCATGATTAATACATGTTTATTAAAATGTTAAATATTGTAATATACTTCTGTAACCCTTAGTATACAGCAGACTGAGGCAGGAGGATCAAGAATTCCAAGTTAGCCTAGGCTGCAATGATGAGACAGTGTCTCAAAATCAAAAACAAAACAAAGAAGCAAACAACAAAAATGGGGAAGGGGTGAGTATGTATAAGTGCATATATGTGTATGTGTGTGTGTGTGGTTTGTATGTGTGTTATGTGAGTGTGTGTATTTGCATGTATCTGTGTGTGCATGTGTGTATATGTGCATGACTTTATGAGTGTGTGTATGAGAGTGTGTGTCTGTTTGTGTGTATGTGTTTATATGTGTGCATGAACATTTGTGTTTGTGTAGTTTGTGTGTCAGTCTGTGTGTGTGTGTGTGTGTGTGTGTGTGTGTGTGTGTGTGTGTGTTAACTGGAGACAGAATAGCTCAGTGCTCAACATGGCCCTAGAATGTACAGGACCCTAGATTCAATTGCGAGCAAAGAAAGAAAAAAAGGAGAGAGAAATAACAGGGGGCAAAAGTAAAGAAGAAATGAAAAAGGAAGAGAAGCAAGAAGGAAAAAGAGTGAAATGGGGAAAGAAGAGGGGAAGGGAATGGTAAGAGTGGAGATAGGGACAAAAAAAAAAAAAAACACAGAGGAATACATAAACTCAGGAGTTTAGGGCCAGTCTAGACAACATAGCAACATACTACTTTTAAAAATATATATATATATTATCTTCCATAAAGTATAAATAAATCAAAAATATACTTATATAATCTTGGTATGTTTGATACTCTGTTAACATATAGTATTTTAAGAAATGTAATAATCCTACATTATGTAGATAGAGTTTAAGAGAAATTGATGAGCTACCCAATTTGTCACTACTGAATTTCTTCCACAACTGCTTACACAGACAAGTCATTATTATTGTGTGTTATAATTTGGACCTAAACATCTTTGAAAGCCATGAGTTGAAGGTTTTGTCACCAGCCTGTAGTGTTCTTGGTAGGTGGCAGAAGCTTCAGAAAGTGAGGCCCAGTGAACAGAAGGCAGGTCTTCCTGGAGGAGGTACTAGACCCCAGCCCTTCCTTCCTTTAGCTCTTTCTGTCCTAGCCAGCACATGTGAACAGCTCTGATCTGCCTGGGCTCCTGGCCTTGCTTGCTGCAGCTCTGATCTGCATGGGCTCTTGACCTTGCTGTAGGTCTGATCTGCATGGGCTCCTGACCTTGCTGGCCTGCCATGCTGTACACACAAATCAGCAGGCAGATGATCAGTACACTTTCAATCTCTGAAGCTGTGAGCCACAATACCTTTCCTCCTTTTAAGTGGGTTTCCTACACACACGTGTAATCTTGGACCCTTTGGGGACTGCCTGGCATAGAGTACATTCTCAGCATTATTTCCTGAACAAAAGAACAAATTACCAAATAGACAAGTAAAAATACAAAGCAAGTTTTCATTGTGTACAGTTTGTAACTATTATTTTAAACTGCACTCAATTTACCAAGCATACATTGAGTAGCTATTTACTACAATAAGAAATTAAGTTGCTACTAAACTTACTAATAAAATATGTAAGAGATATTCCCAACTATGGTTTAATGCTAATGTTTTATATTTTAAAAATTCTTTCATTGACTTGGAAATCAATACACTAAAAAAGAACATTATCTAATATAATCTAACTATATATATAAATATTCCAATTGACTTATTAAGTAATTATTAAGTAATCCGGTACCCTTAGTTAACAAGTATAAGGAATAATAGCAACAAAGTACAACTTTGTAGAAGTTACGCAGTTTTGTGAGTCAGTTTTTACATCTTTTCCTTTCTACAGTGACTAAGTTAAGGATCTATTGTGGATTCTTATGAAAACAAGGGCCTGGAGCTCTAATGTTCTAGGACCCAAGGCTACCCCTTCACACTGCATGGGACTATAAGCAAAGGTTTCAAATTATACCATCAACAAGAACCTCTAGGAATTGCAAGCCGAGCACACACAGAGCTCACTGTGCCAAGACACAGGACTTTCCTGTATCACTTCACTGTGCTTCCACTTTCTAACTTGAATTAGGTTGTGAACTTTCATGACATAGACCCTGAGAATCAAACCAGCCAATACCATCTGCTGGGTCTCATTATTCTGATCTTCTATATTCTCAGCCAGCAACTGACTCAATTTTCTCCACAATTCATAAAGCTCTTGTCTGTCTGCTCCATCTTCCTGCCGTGTCTTTATCAATCTATGCCATGTCCGAGCCACCTGGTGAAAAGGAGATTGAAATAGTTATGTTACCATAAACTTAAAATGTTAAACCTAACAACCAAAATTATTTCGTCCATTAACATGTAAAAATAGCAAAAGTATTATACCCCGTCCTATATGACCAAAAAAAAAGAAATAGAAAAAAAGGTTGACTAGGCAAATTTCTAGAACCCTTCTATCAGAAATATCACTAAGACACAGACAGATAGACGACTACATCCCCAACCCCCACAACTTAG